TAAGACTAATCATTGTTGCTTTTAAAAGAAAAAGTATTTTTCTTGTCATTTTTGAAAAGCATGCTTTTTCCCTCCCTCTTTTTATCAGCACAAATATTTGCTACAAATGCCTAGATGACAAATCACATAAGTAACATTTTTTTGTCTGAACAAAATCTTCATTTTACTATTCTACGTGAACAGCCAAGCAAGGGCTAAAATCAAGGCTAAGGCAATTTACTTGCAGGCAAATATGTAATTACAATCAATACTGTACACGCAACTGCACCCCCAAAAGTTAATCTGTTCTTGTATGGCTTACAGAGTTTCATTTTTTAATGATTTTTTTTCATATTGGTATTATTAAAAATAAAGCTTCTGCAATCATGGTCTTGGTCTGTTAGCTATTCTCCTCCCAGCCTTTCAACCTCATATTCTTTCACCTTTGGTCTACCTCAAATGAATCTGGTAAAGGAAGAGGTAATTAAAGTTCTACAAGATGCCCATGAAAGTGGTCATTTAGATAGAATGCCTATCCCCATGCTTATCTACATATCTAGCTGTCAGTCCGATCATATGCATGAATATTACTGCTTATAAGCTGTTGAAAGTTTTTCTCTGAATTCCTTAATTGATGGAAAATGCTGTGATGTACTTCAGCTGGTGGTTTACAAACTATCTATGTGGCCTCTCTTCTGGGCTGCAGAGTGCTGTCCTGCAGCTATGAGACCTGCGATACTTGGGTGCTCTTTACATTCAGTCCACTAAATTTCTTTCTTTTCTTGAAGACTGAAATTATTCTTCCTAACTGCTTAATATCCTTCTTGATCATGTCCAAAATATGTCTTCCCTTTCTTCCTTTTTTCTTTAACATAAGTTCATTTTCTTTGGTATTATTTATTACAAAGTATTATGTTTGCCAGTTAATTATATACTCAGGTAACCATTTATTTCTTTAATGGTAGGATAACCAGCTCTCTTGCTTTTCTTTCTGTCTTGCATTCTTTTGTTAGTGCTTTTGTTCTTTTTTTTTTTTTTCTCCTTTGGAGTTTTGTTCTTCTGCTGTTTTGTTTCTTTCTCTCTTTTTATCTTTCTCTCTTAATTAGACCTGTGACTTCTTTTCAGTTTTAATTTTAATATAACTTTTTCCTGGAACTGGTGCTTTTGTATGAACAATCCATTTGTTTTCCTCTACATGTTTTTGTTCTGATTAGAGACTGTGGGAGTTAAGGTGCTGTGACAGCCCCGTGTGTCTTTCTGCACACATTCCTTGGTGGTTTGCAGTCTGGTGTTTATAATCCATCTTTTTCTGAATGCATTATCCTGGCCCTTGATGTTTCAAACTGAGCCTGCAGCTCCATGTAATGCTTTTTGTATACTCCAGCTTGAACTCCATATGCTTGTCTGCCTCAGGTAATTTGTCTCTTTTTGTAAGTGCGGATTTTCTTTTTTTATGTATTTTACTCTTTTCTTGTAGTGTTTTAGATTCCCTACTGTCTCTAAGGAGCTGGGCTTCTGTTTATCCCATTGTACGGGAACTAACTGATCACCTGAGGTGAGCAATGAGTCAGCTAGGGGAGCACAGGTGAAGGCAATTCACCTGTGTTGCCGGAAGGGGTGGAGCCTGGCTCTACCTCTCCTAGTCCCATTTAAGAGCTGGCTACCAGTGTGGAAGGATCTCTTCTGGAGATCCCTCTTCGGGAGTTTCACAGTGAGCCCAGGATATGGGTAAGCATTCTATCTATTCTCTTTTGGTATAATAACTGTTGAGTCAAACTCTCTGATATATTTCATAATTGTAACATCTGTACATTCACTGATTATACAGCCATGTAGGTTGCTCACTGCATTTCTTATGCTTTGAAAATTTTGATTGCTTTCTCAAAAGTGTATTTTTGAGCCATCTAGTCATCTATTTTTGAGTGCTTGGCAGCACTAGGCTCTTTTTACAGGTGCTGCCAGACTGGTTCTTCAGTTTCTTTAGCCTGCCAGTAACCGATCAGTGTTAATACTTTTTTTTAAAGTTGTTTATATTTTATATTCTATATGGAGGGCAGAGCTTCTCAAATTCTCTGCAGTATAATTTGTAGCAAAACTATTATGCTCAAGGAAGAGCAAATCTGATAAAAGTAGTACTGCCTCCAAAACCATCCATAATCAGGGACAACCTCTGTATCCCCTTCTCAATTCCCAAGGACAGCACTCTGCTGCAGATATAGACTGAAACAGTAGTTAAATCTTCTTCAATTACACTTTTTTTTTTTTTTTTTTTTTTTTTTTTCTACATTCTTTGCTCCAAGATTGGTTCTTGATTTGATTCACTCTAGCTACTGTGCTATTTGGAAATCACCTCGAGCCAGCTAGGTTACTGAACCTTCATTGTTCAGTGCCTGTGTTCTTATGGAGCAATGTTGCCTATGTCTGGATGTGTGGTGGGTCTCAGATGGACTGAGGGAAACTTGCAAAGGCTGTCTGACAGAGATGAAAGTAAATGTGCCTGAAGCCCATAATTAGTCAGTGGAGTTACTTTCAATACATTAAATGATTTCTAGGGGTCTCTTTTCAAGTGAAGTAAACTGGAGAAGCTAGATCTAAAGCCGCACTGAATAAAAAAAAACAACCCTGGAAGTCACAAGCTCACACTTTGAGTGTATTTTTGCAAATATTTATTCAAGGGTGAGAATATTGGAATTCTTTTCTCATCTTTCCACATTTCTATAATGTGGAGCTCAATTGGTCCTGTGGGAGTCCCTGTATCTAATAATATCATGGCTGCTTGTGAAATCTACTGTCTGATGTGAGGAGTGAGGTGATTCAGCTCAAAAGGGATATTACTCTCTTCATGGCTGCTCTATTTTTCTCTCCCTCTCGTTTTAATAATAATAAGTATTGCACACACAGTTTTCTGACTGTCATAAAATATCCTATGGAGTTCAGCTGAAGCAATGAGAGCTATGATAATTCCTCATGCATTAGAGCAGTGGCTACTGCAAGTGTAGCAATATCTGGTGGAAGAAGTTGGATTAGTCAGTGTTGAATTTCTAGGAGGCTGAAAGGAAACAACTACACAGTGTCTTTACAGTAAGAAAACCAAATTGTTTTTTTAACATTAGAGGGCAATAGCTTTTTTTGGTCTTCTGCTTGGCATCAGATTGATTGAAAGGATGCATGAACAGAATGTTCTTCCTCTTGACTGTGGTTAGTATTTGTATGGCCTTATAATCCAGAACAACTCTACACTGACCACTGTACTAATGTGCAACAGAAATTCATCAGCCTTCTGGGAATTTTAGAGTCTAAGTACAATAGTCCTCTCTATCCCATGTAGTACTACAGGAAGGGAAAACAGGCAACAAAAATCAACTATCATAAGATTTTTGTTTGGACTGTTTGTTTAGGTTTTTTTAAAATTATTCATTAGATTCCTTCTGCATAAAGCTAAAACCTATGCTCACATGTCTTTTTCAGTGGAGCAGGTGAGGATTCCCCAGCGTCCATCTTAACTGTGAGAGGATCACACAACAAACAGAAAAGTTTACAGTTACCTGCATGTCTTCAAGACAGAGTAAAATCAGTCAGTTTTTCCATGTCATTTTTGTTCATTCTCCTGTTCTGACACAAACCTATTGGTTAGCCTAAACCCAAACTCAAGCTTTGGGTTTAAGCTGAAACTTGAGTGATTTTTGCTCAGACCAGTCACCAAGTGACTTCCAGTGAGGCTGAGGTGGTGGCCACAAAGTGCTTGTTACCTGCAAGTGCTGCAGCAAAGATGATAAATATATCCCATACTCAGTTGATTGGAATTGATCTTGACTAAGCCTTAGGAAAATCACTGGGCTAGCAGCTGCATGTTCTATATGACTTCTGATTTAAAAAAAAAAAAAAAAAAAAAAAAAAAGTGAGTTGTTTTGGCTTTTTTGGTTGGTTTTTTTTTTTTCCTTCCCCAACTACAAGGAAAGCTGTGGATTAGAGTTTACTACTTTCTGTGCGAAGAGAGTTCTGCAGGCAATGGCAATATTTCAGTGCAGGCCATCTAAATTATTGATTGCTGTATATAGCCAGAGGTCAGGTTTTAAATATCCCTCACTGCTTGAGACCATTCTGGCAACTTATGTTAAAAAGAAGAGAGAAAAATACAAGAGTTTAAATTGAACAAGATGCAAGAAAGTGCTATTAGAATGATTGTGGAAAGGAAAATTTATCTTCTTAGAGAAGATAATTTGTTTCTACGAGATTTTTGTCAATAATGAAACCAAGAAGGGACAAAATTAACTTTGCAAGTACTCTTGGAATGGGAAAAATGAAAATGAGTAAAAAAGAAACTTTTTACATAATGGAGCAAAGTCAGTAACAGAGGAAGGAAAAACAGTCAACAAAAAATGAGTGGAAATGAGAATAAGGTTTCTCACCATGAGAGAAACGAAACTCTGAGGAAGGATTCTAAGCATGACACTTCCATATCAATTCAGGATAGGGCTTGATAAATTCATGGTAGGAACTGCACTGCATCAGAAGAATGGAAGCTGGCATTAAATTCAGCATTTCTGACGAGAGGATTTTTGTGTTCAAAGTAATACTGTCTACAAATAGAACTCACAGAAGACTTAATCACTATGTGTTTGCTGCACTGTATATATGATCAATTAATTCCATGCCTCAAAGCTTCTACCATTCTCCTGCAGGGACCAGGAAAAAAAAATTCCTTCTTCTGCATAACTTGGCTTTTGTTACTCATTTGTGTTATTATTCCACTCTGACGTGTACATGCTTCTGAAACACCCAAGATGGACGTAGCTTGAATGGAAAAGGAAGGTCAAGCTGCACTTCTAGTTGGTGCCTAGAGAGACTGAAGTCTCAAGATGAATTTTCTTATGAACCTAAGGAAGAAAATAAAGATTAGATTAGTTGTTGCAGGATAAGTATATTTCATATAATTTCAGGGTTTTTTTTTATATAAAGACATAAAGATAGTTGAAAAAGTGAGAAAAAGCTGAACATTTTTCGTTTATGTTTCTTTTCAGGTTCCATCTATGAAATGTTTGGAAATGAATGCTGCCTGTCAACAGGAGAAGTGATTAAAGTTATTGGCTTCAAAATTAATAAGCTCATAGCAAGTATCTGTGAGAATAATGAAGACAGCCAGTTTTCTGCCAAAGTGGAATTACCACTAAATTTTCCTGGTATAGTATTTCATGAATACATGTTTTTGAGGAATTATAATCACCTTTTTGCATTTTATTTATTTACTGTCTTCACTGGTATTTATTTGAGCTTTTGTCTCAGCTGTCAAGGATACAATTTTATCAGATGGCACAAAAAACGACCCACTCATTTTTACATTTCCATTCCTATAGTTCTCTTTCAAATCTGGATAGAAGTTATTCATGTTATAATGTTCAGAAATGATCTTTATACTTAAGGTCACTCAGCCTAAGAATTCTTACAAAGACATCCATTCAGTTGTTTGTGACTGTCAAATTTTGAGATTTTTTTTTTTTGCCATATATGCAGAACATAATTTAATTACTGTTGGTATATCAACCATTCTGAGTAAAAAAGACTTCAAATATTTTCTTATGTTTCATTTTGATTTAATCATTTATTTTAATTCCTGTGGCCAAAGTGGCTGCTTTGTGCCTGGGAGCAGAGGAAACCAGACAGTTCTATGGAGATGTCCCAGAATGCTCACCTTTTTGAACTTGGACTTGATGCTTTGCATCTGATACTGGCTTAATATTTTAATTGAGAATATCATCCTCTGATCATGTAGGGAGAGTGGCCAAGTATTGCATCTCATTTCATCTGTTTTTTAGGGACTGGCTGTGTTAAATAGAGGAGTGACTGAAATGCAGAGGGGGAAATGCTGTGAGTTTATGCATGTGGGAAGTGGAGGAGGCAAACCAGGTTGAGAAACTGCCTGGAAAGTGGTGAACCTAGGAGCAGTAGATTGAATTCTTGACTTGGTAACATCACTGGTGTTTTTCTATGCATCACAGTGCATGTAAGACTGTGCGCAGGCACATATAAAATATTTAGGTTATATCAGCCACCAGAATTGAGTGTTTTTTTTTTTTTTTTTTTTTTTACAAAAAGGGAGACAAGGCACATTTCCTTAGCAAATAAAATGCAAAAGCACATAGAAAAGCAACATTTCATCTGAATTACATAGGAAAGTATCTTTTGCCATGCCTTCATTTTCGATCTCTAAAATACACATTTCTCTCTGAAGTAGTCCTACATACAATGTTCTTTTCCCTAGTAGATTCTCAATATGCTTTCATGTTATTCTTATTTGATGAATCAGAACCTTTTGTATGACCACTTATTAAGAGGCTTTTTTGAAATGTCATTTTCAAGCACTGATAGGGCCCAAAAATAATGATCAAAGACATTTTAATTATTTGTGTCTATCTAGAGATATTGAAGTACTGTGATACTGTGAACTCTCAAGGTACTTAGTGTTTTTCTTGAATTCCAATCTTTGCTATTATTTTTTTCTGTATCTCTAAAATATATGTACATGTAGTAAGCTATAGTCTGTATCTTGATTGACAGATGGGGTTGAACATCTGAAGCCTAAAACATCCAGCACAACTAAGCATTAAAAGTAATCCTATATTTATTAATGTTGAATCTCATGATTTTTAGAACAGAATGACTTGTGATTTTGAGTAATTGAACTCGGTGACTCTGGATTTGCTTGCACTCAAGTGATCAGTTTTACAACTTGGCATTTGGATATCATGGCCCTGCTGAGAACACATTTAAATTTAGTCAAATACCTACAATTTATATCTTTGTTATCTCCTGACTAGTTTTCTAGAAAATGTACACATTGTGTATACACATTATGTTCTCAGTGAAACAGTTGGACTTGATAATCTGGGCCTGAAAACCCAAATCTTGATCCAAATGAATGAAACTAGTCTAACAATGTTGTTGGCTTGTCTCATCTCTACAACAAAGAACAGAACCAAATTGCTGATGATATTTTTCCACACTGTTGTTGATTTTTTTTTTTCTTCTGTAAAAATATCCACAAGTCTCTAGACTGTCACTGTACTCTCATTGCACTTGCAGGGCTTTCTTGCTATTATTGATGAAAAGAAAACATTTTTGATGTTGTTTTCCACTTCCGTTATAAGTTGTCATTTGCATGTGATGAGCCTGTCTACCCTTTCACTTTATGCATGCTGACATAAGCAAGCCACTCATCTGTTTAGATAACTCTGGGGATGATCTCTCTGAGAGAAGAACTGGGCTCATTGGCTTTAAATGAGCCTTCCTCTTTGTCTTGCTGAATGTATTTGCAACCTACAGAATTCTTTTTTTCTGCTCTGGCAAATCAGATTCTTGATAAAGGCCTTATCTGGCCTTTGCATTAGCAAGACCACTGCAACTGCAAGTTCACTGTGTTATTTCATTTTATCCTCATTCTAATTTGTTCATCTTCATGCCTCAGAGGGCCAGGCTGTTCTTTCTGTGTTCATACATTGGACCAAAAAGAAACCTGCTGCTACTCTAGGCATTTTGATGGCTATATATACCAGCATTTTGAACTACAATTTTCACTGCTAACAAGTTAGCAGAGACAGGTAATTTACACAACATCTGAACAGTGTGCCAGCACAAATGATTTCATTTTGTTCTGTTAAATTCCCTTTTCTGCAAAAATATTATTTGTCTGTCCCTGTTCTCAACATGTCTCTGACAGCTGTCGCTGCTCATTCCTACAGGACCTGACAGATGTAGCTGAGCACAACCATCCCTTTGAGCTCTCAGCCTTTGCTAACCATGAGGCAGGAGACTTGCCTGTGGCCATATATGCATGCAAGAGCTGGGACTGGGCACAGTAAGGCTCACCTTGGTAGGAGTTAAAGAGCTGTCAGTCTGAAAGACTTCCATGTAGCAGAGTGAATGCCCTGCAAAACAGAAGCTATGAGAAAATCAATCCTTGGGCTTCTGTGCCAAGGAGGTAACAGATACATGGCTCTCCAGTGGTGATGCCAAGTTTGAACTATGGTGATCTGATGAAAATATTACTGTGACTATCAGTGGCACAGACTGGGAAAATGATACAGAGGAAAATCCCATCAGCCTCAGGAGTGAAATAAGCAGCAGGAGATGAGGGACTGTAGTAGAGAGTTTGAGGCACAATGGGAAAAAGATGCTGCAGCAGATGGAACAGAGGAGGAAGCGTGGGTGGTGGAAGAGTGGCAATCAAATCAGCTCCAGAGGAGTCAGGAACTAAGTTGATTCTGTTCTTCTACAATACTTTGGGAAACGGAAGCTACTATGATAACACCAAGCAGTGGGGTGTGGTTGGTGTACAACAGGGACAGAATGCCAATCAGAGGGACCTAGACAGGCTTGAGCAGTGGGCCCAGGTGAACCTCATGGTATTCAACAAATCCAAATGCTAGATCTTGTACCGGGATTGAGACAGTCCTCACTACTGATACAAGATGGGGAATGAAAGGATTGAGAGCAGCCTTGCTGAAAAAGACCTGGGGGTACTGGTAGATGGGAGGCTGGATATGAGCCATCAATGTACCCTCACAGCTCATAATGGGCCGCATCTAAAGAAGCATGGCCAGCGGATTGAGGGTGGTGATCCTGCCCCTCTGCTCTGTGCTAGTGAGGCCTCACCAGGTACTGCATCCAGATGTGGAGTCCTCAGTACAGGAGGGGCACAGATCTGTTGGAAAACATCCAGAGGGTAGCCAAAAAATGATCCAAGGGTTGAACGCCTGTCTTGTGAGGACAGGCTGAGGGAGCTGGGGCTGTCCATCCTGGAGAAGGTTGCTTGGTGACCTGATAACAGCCTTTCTGTATCTAAAGAGGTGCTACAGGAAAGAATGGGATAGACTCTTTAGCAGGGTATGTGGTGATAAAACAAGGGGAAGTAGTTTCAAGCTTAAAGAGGATAGATTTAGGTTGGATACAAGGAAAATGTCTTTTGCTGTGAAGGTGCTGAGGCACTGAAACACACTGCCTAGAGATGTGGTAGATGCCCTGTCCCTGGAGACTTTCAAGGTGAGGCTGAATCAGACCCTGGGCACCCTGATCTTCTTGTGCATTTCCCTGTTCATTGTAGGGGAATTGGACTAGATGGCTTTTAAATGTTCATTCCAACCATAAGAATTCTATGATTCTAGTCTGGGACAGAAGGTCGTTCTGTTATTTTTAACTTGAAGACTATTTGCTGCTCTAGTAGGTGAGCCTGATTACCTCAGTAATCTGTTGGACAAAGAAGAAAAAGAGAATAGAATGGATGCTCTTTTTCTTCAGAACTCTTATTAAGGCTGGAAACAGGGAACGTGTAAAACTTCATAGAGTTGCACTGTATTACTAGTAAAAGGGAGCTGAATATATTGTTCCATACAAATGTGGAAAAACATCCTTCTATATAAACATGCTTTTCCACAGCATGAAACGAATCATCTATATCATTTTCTCTCCCATAACAGTAAAAATTATTTTCTCTGACTCCAAAACCCTCTTCCTCTATCAATGTGTACACCGTTAGATAAAACATTTCTTGTAAGTTATAGGGTGTTCAGATTTAGGGCTTAATAATTCTGAAATGATAATTAGGCAGGAATTTCACTAGCTGATATGGATTCATGAAGAGTAACAATGCCTATAAATTTCACTAATTACTGTTTATGAGGTCTGCTCCGAAAGTTATGCTTAAAAGTTATTTTATTATGTAGGCCCACAGTGTTGGAGGATGTTGGTATGGCAGTAGAGGTTGAACCTTCCCACCAATATTCTGTTGCAATTTTTTTTTGCTATGGGACAGATGGCAACAGAGGGGCAAATTTACATAATGACATCTGACCTGGACATGGATGTGAAGTAAAATGTGGAATGAATTCCTCCATGTAGAAAAATGGTGCCCACTGACATTCACTGACACTTGGTGAATGTTGATGCAGATCAACAGTGTATGTGTAGATTAACAGAACTGTGTGTTTGATCATATTCTAAATTATTTGAAAAATAGATCTATATGAGCAAGAATGTCAGCTCGCAGTAAACCTGCTGGATTTTTTTTTCTAATTCACTCTGGTATTCCCACTAACATTCCACCAAGCACTCTCATGGAAGTCCAAGATATTTTGATTCAGTCATTTCTTGATTTGTGAAAAAATATATTTTTTTATTAACCTCAAAATGTCCAAACTTTAGTATCTCAAATTTGCCATATGTCTCCTTACTCTGGAGAATTCCTTGCTATTTAGTGTTAGGAGAACAGTTGTTTTTGTAATTTGACTCATAATGATTTTAATGAGATTCTGAATAGTTCCAGATAACATTTTTAAAAACAAATTTCCACATGAAAAACAAATAAACATGCCATGGCTAGGAGAGCATTTATGAGAAAGCACCATGGCAGATTATGGCAGTTAATTAGGAATTGCAGTTGTTTTCCCCTAATCGTACTAGAGTAAATTTTTATTTATCCACCTCCTCTCTGTAGAGAGAAAAACATATGGAACTTTACATACTTATAAACAGGTGGCTATTAGGGGCTTATAATTCAAGGGTCTCATCAATACGGAAGCTAAGAATGCAAGTCCACATGGCCCTTTAGTTGTCCATGCAAACATTCTGTCACTGAAATTAAGAAAACAAGCAGAAGGGAATATGAATGTTTTTCTGCTTCCAGCACTGACACATTCAGTCTGCCTGGGCTCGAGGGGATAATCTGTTGTCTAGTTTTGTGTGAGAGTTGATAATTATGCTTCTACATGAAACTTGTTTTCCAACCCATGATGGTCACCAGTTTATTGCTGGAAAAAAAACCTGGCTTCCAAATAGCTCTGCAATCCCAGGGAAATTCCTAGAGCCCAAGTCTGGTGTCAATTTCATAGAGGAGAAGTAAGTTTCTCATGACTGTGTGTTGCCATATATTATCAACTGGAGATGTTTTTTAACATAGTTTATGGAGCCTTCTAAATGTGATTCTGGAGGTTTTCTAGGGGCATTGCATGTGCCCCTATATCACAAATTTGCAAACACAGTTATTGCCTTTGAGATACATCACATGTTGTTTGAATACATTTCTAATGAAGAATATTCCTATTTCTTTTCTCCAAGCATTGCCAAGAGATGATGTCCTTCCTTTCTGTGCTTGCAGTGCATGACACAGAAACAGTGTTTGGGGATGCTGTCTTGTCCACAGCTTCAGACTGTCATTGGTGCTTTGTCACTGTGATATTTTCTAAATGCTGATGAACCTGGTTTGTCTTGATCTACACTGACAACTCCAGTAGTGATTATGTTTGCAGTGGCTAACTTGCTTGCTAATAACTGTTAAAATCATCTATTGGAAGCACTAAAAATACTAGTGAGAAAAATATTGTGTGCTGCAGTTTTACCTGTGCAGTTATGTTCATGGATGTGGCTTCCTTGCAACTTGAAAAGAAGTCATGAGACTTTCCCACAGTGCTGCAGTGAGGACAGACACAGAGGATGTATATGCATTAAGGTACTGATTTCACACAGAAAAAGCTGACTGTCATATAGGCAAATGTGAAGGCACAGAATCACAGACAGCATGGCCAGAGTTAGTGACTTATTTCTGCAGTAAATCAAATAGGCTGCTGCTGTTTTGGTTGCTGACAAGTGCTCAGAGCTGTTAGTTGCCACAGCTACAAGTGATCTCATGGGGGTACCTAGAACTGAACACACCCAATATGGTGATAAAACCTGTGAAAACAGAGAGAAACTTTGTGTCCTTAATGTACTTAAAAAGAAGTGCACTAAAGCTATGAAATGGATGTAGCAGTTTTTGTTAAAGATTAAAAAAATGGTTGTCCAGGGACTGATTTGATATACCCTTTCTAAAGACTGAAATCCTAAGGATCCCCTGCCTTGCTCCAGGCCCCTGAATTGTGTTGATTGTGTATTCAGGGTGAAGCTCAGTAATGGAAAAAGTGTGGGAGCAATTTTTAACCAAAGCAAATCCCTTGAGAGGGGTCTAGAGATGGTGTGAATGAGTATCTTCCCTGCAGCTAGTAGGAACTGAGTCCTACTGCATCATACCTGACTGAGATTTGGGCACCTGCTGTGGCATCCTTCCCATCTTCTCACTCTGATCACCACCAGAAAGGAAGTCATAGCCAGCATTGTCCCAGTTTCCCTTCTGAATGGTGAGGTAGACAAATAGAACACTTACAACTTTTTAGATGTAGTGTGAACCACTCATGAGATGTAGAACTGGTGAGAAAGTGTCTCTAGTTGTGCCAAGCAACATTTCTTGAGTCTGCATCCCATTCTTCCTTCATAACTGCCAAGATGGGAGAATTCCTTTACTCGAAGGACATGATACCATTTGTATGGTCTGGAGGAGGCAAAGGAAATCAGTAACAGGGCCATGAAATTTCTGCTTTTTGGCTCTGTAGGGATGTAGGAAAAATGTGCTGCATTGCCCTGGGATATTGGCTTCACTGTTGGCGTAGCTGTGGCTAGAACATAAAAGATACAATGCGATTCTATGAGGCAGCATTCATACTGTCGCATCTTGGGAAGAGGATAGCTTAATCACATAGCTCGGCTAAACCCTACTGTTTAGTCCTTTAAACTGTCTACTTCATCTTCCTCTGTGAAAACTCTCACACAAATATAAAAATGCACATATTTTTCTTGTGATGTGAACTCCTAATGAGACAGCTCCAAGGGCCATGACTAACATGAAATAATAATGGCCCCAGGGGCTAGAGAGGCTCAGATGCAGCTTCTGCCTTACAGTACAGTATTTCAACACTTTAATTGCATTGCTATGGCCGCAGTATTCCAAACTGAGAAGCACTCCATCTGATGGTCTGGTTTATCAGAGATGCTAAGAACAAGTTCTTTTTCTCATTCATACCTTCAAACATGCTCATCCTTGGAATTCGCAGTCTGCATGTAGAAGGAGGCGTTGTACTGATGTTTAGGGAGAAAATTCACCCTGTGTCTCAATGATCACGTTGCTGTCGCTCTTTCTCATATCATGTCTGCATTTGTTTCTTAAGGTCTGGTTTCCTGAGGAAAGAGATAAGAATTTAAGAGAACGTGTTTTTTTTTGTTGTTGTTGCTTTGTTTGTTTGTTTTTCTGTAGCAAAAACTCTTTTTTTTTTTTTTTTCAATCACAGACATAAAAATGCTGGATGTTGGAAGTGTTGTAGCTGTAGAGTAGAATGGGATAATTTCATCTATCTATTCTTTGTGTCACATGGTTGATATTATCTTCACGCAGTTACATTTCTAGCAACTGAATTACCTGCTTGTTGTGGTTTAACCTGGCAGCAGCTCAGCCCCTCACAGCCTTTCGCTCACTCCTCTGCAGTGAGATGGGGTGGGGAAACAGGAAAAAAAAAAAAGTGTAAAACTCATGAGTTGAGACAAAGAATGCTTAATATGACAGGAAATGAAAGAAAAAATAATAATAATAATAATAATAATAACAAAAGAATATGTGAAACAAGTGAAGCACAATGCAATTGATCACCACCTACCTACCAGTCCCTAAGAAGCAGTTACAGGCGCCCAAGCAACTTCCCTGAATTTTATAGTTTTTACATAAGATGCCATATGGCATGGAACGTGCCCTTGGCCAGGCTAGGTCAGCTGTTCTTTTTCTGTCCTCACTCAGTTCCTTCTGTCTGCCCAGTACCCTCTTTGGCAGAACAACATGAGAAGCTGAAAAACTGAAACATTCTTTGCTCTGTATAGCACTGCTCAGTGACAACTCAAACACTAGTATGTTACCATCATTATTCTCATTATAAATAAAAACATGGCACCATAATGAAGAAAATAATCATTATCATGGCTGAAATCATGACATAGACATGATCAGGGGTCTTATCAATCCTTAAAAATATCTAATGGGTGAGAGTCAAGTGGATGGGGCCAGGCTTTTCTCGGCCGTGTCCAACAACAGAACAAGGAATACAAACTAGACTGTAGGAATTTTTATATGAATATGAGGGAAAAAAAATCTCTAAGGGTGACAGAGCACTGGAACAGGCTGCCCACAGAAGCTGTGGAGTTTCCTATGGAGGTATTCAGAACAGCCTGAATGCTTTTCTGTGTAACCTATTCTAGGGAGCACGTTTTAGCAGGCAGTTGGATTAGATGATCTCTAGAGGTCCCTTCCAAACTGTGTAGTTTTTGATTCTGTGATTTGTCTCATCTTGCTTTGTATGCTTTCCTTCTTATAATGCATCTTTTCTGTCCTTAGGTCTTTATAAGATTGTGGCAGACAAAACACCATATGTCAGCGTTGAAGAAATTACAAGAAAAGTCGCTATTGGGCCAACAAGATTTGGCCATCCATGTTTCTACAGCCCTGAGGATATAAAACTGGCAAACCTCACAATCAAAAAGGGTGAGCAGATCGCCTTCAATTCTGTGGAAGAGATCAGTGGAACAACGGCTGTGAGATGTGTTATGGTCAGAAACAACCAGTCTCATTCCTTTATTTTGCCCCTATCACAAAAAGGAAAATTCTATGAGTGTGAAGATGACCAGATATACACCCTAAAAGAGATTGCAGAATGGAAAATCCCTAAGTGCAGAAGCCGGATTGTCAAACTTTCCAGCACTTTACATACGTGGAACTCCTCTAATCCACTTCCTGAGAATTTCGATGGCTACTTGGTTCTCATGCCTGTCTATGAAGTGCAGGCACTAATGAAATGTAAGTAGGAATTAAGGTCAAAGAATTATTTACTCTGTATGATGTGGCACCCTTAAATTCATACAAGTTGCTCAAGGAAGAATTATGTTTGGTCAAGAATTCCTGGGGCATCTTTACCAGTGATGCTTATTCCAAATTGCAGAAAGATAAAAATAGTATTCCCATATGTATTTCCCTGTCAGATATTAATACAGATAGTTTCCTAGTATTACTTTCTGTTATCATTTTACTTATCACTAAAATTAAATTATCTTTCAAAAGGAGATATAATACATAATGAAAAAGCAAAGCTTAAGAGTTCAGTTCAGTTCTGAGATCCTCTTTCTTTGTATCTCTTTGGCCGTGGAGAAGTCACCAGATCTCTGTAGGCACTCAAGGTCAGCCTGGATGGAGCCTTGAGAAGCCTGATCTAGAGGGTGGCAATCCGGCCCATGGCAAGGAAATAGAACTAGTTGGGCTTTGTGACCCTTTTAAACCCTATCTGTTCTGTGATACAGATTTTATAAGACACTTAACTACAGTTGTGAACTACACTGTGTTTTTCAGATTGACATTCCAGAATGAAAACCAATATTATTTTACTTTATAATAGAAACAAATATCAATAGATATAAAAGATTCATGGATGATCTCTGAAGCCTCAGGGTCTGAGGAAATGGGAAAGAATTAGAAAGCCAGTATCTTTAAAAGCTGTAATTTGTGTTCTGAGTTTTTAAAATAAGGAAAGAAAAGGAAAGGAGAAAAGATTTTTTTTTTTTTTCCCCTTGGTAATTAAATACTGTTCTAGTTGTTCTACCAAAAAGCTGAAACTTGTCGTTTCAGTTCTTATAATGCTTATATCCATGCATTACTTTGAACTGAAGATAGAAGTTGTGCAAGGGCATAAGTTCACAGAGAAATACTCCTATTTTATGGTGGCTTGAATAGCTGAGCTGCAGCAATGACTTGTGTGCTTACACAATGTACTGACTGAAGTTCCTCCCTAATTTATAAAAAAAAAAAAAAAAAACCAACAAACAAACAAAAACAAAACCAGAGAAAACAAAAACCAGCAGCTTATGCTAAAATACTTGATTTTGCTTGAGGACCGCAAAGGTAATAGGTGGAGACTGGCTGCAGTTCACCTTAATAATTCACCCATAGTGTTAAAGTTTGCAGGATAGGAGCTTAGCTTTTGCGAAGCTTTGCTGTCTGTTGCTTTTACTGGAAGCACATCAGAAAGTACAGAAATGAAATCCTGAGAGAAATATGTCATTCAGGAAGAAAATAAGGGGGAGATTTTTACTATGGAAATTCCTCTGGGTGATGGTATAAGTTAGGAGATAAAATACACAGGAGAAATAAAAGCAAGCAGAGACTTTTAGCACAATATACTATAGCTGCTAAATGCTTTTCATGAGATATTCCACTCTTCTTGCTATGTGATTTAAAATATGATCTTGGAAAGCATATCTTCACCAGATAAAATGAAAAGACAAAAAGTTTTCTACAGCTCTAACTATATTCAGAGATCTAATCTTAGTCCTGCATCTGGATTCACTTCAGTATATACTTATGACCATATAGATGTATAAGAAGTCTTAGTAAGAAAGTGATGTTTCTAAAAAACTTTTAGAAGATTCAGAAGTATGTAGTATTCACTCATTTTCCTAACAGATAATTCCAGTGAGGGCTTTTGTTGTTGTTTATGTTATTTATGTTTCATAGTATTCTCTACATTTAAGAAATATTAAATGAGCCCTAAGTAACAATTTAATACAACTTGAAAATTAGGTTTTATGATGCATTATCAACTACTTTTTTGTGGACAATGAAAAAAGTATTTTCACCAATTTTAGAAGAACTATAGAGAGATGCAAAATGAAGTGTGAGAAATACTAACCACAGTTAAATAAAAAGGATCCCTGATAAGAGAGGTATCTGATTAGATTTTCACAGGCTGTGGTCAGGAATCCTCTGTACTTCTCAGTCTCAATAAATAACAAAATTTTGTGTCTGGACCTCTCTTAGTTGTTCATAGAGAATGTTCATTTTCACTAGTTGTTCCATGTTCCTTGATTTTCACATGTGGTGGTTAGGATTGTTTCACCTGAAGGTGTTAATGTGACAAAAGCAGAGTGGGAGTAGACAGACCCTGAATTACTTTCATAGAAGTTATTATGTAAAATACATGTCTGATACCATCTTTAAGGCGTGAAATATTGATACTCCATATTAGAAGGAGGTATGTGTATAGTATACCTGTTCGAAGGTCTCTGCAGAGTGAATTTCCACCAGGGAGGTGGTGGAGTCACCGAGCCTGGGGGTGTTCAAGGAAAGGCTGGATGTTGTGTTGAGGGACATGGTTTAGTGGGAGCCATTGGGAATAGGTGAACGGTTGGACTGGATGATCTTCTAGGTCTTTTCCAACCTTGGTGATGCTATGATTCTATGATTCTATGGATTTTGATAAAGAGTCATTAAATAATATTTACTTGTTAAATTTTACTGCATTTGTTAGTGACCTCTGGTATCACTGACCTGGAGCTAAATTCTTGACAAACCTTAGTTGCACAGTCATCCTATGTAGTTTGAAATTTTACATCCTAAATTTTGCAAGTTTGGTTAGAATTGTCATTGCTGCTTGTCAGATTGCTAAAGACAATAGCTCAGCTTTAACTGTGAATATAACCAGGTACCTTAGGAAAAGATACTAGAGTTCTACAAGTAGACCTCTGTAGTTGAAGCATCCTCTTTCACTAGTAATAATGAATAAACTTCATGATACAAAGATCTTGCCTTTTAAGGAAAATTACATTCATTTTTAATAATTATCAGTACTTTCCTTATTATAAATATATAGGTGTGTTTAATTTGTCCCAGAAGTACCTTATTCTCATTTCCTTTATGAGGTCTTCTGCATATCTGCTAACCATGTATTTCAAATTGAAACAGGTAGACTTTGACTAGCCCACAAGTTGTACAGTCGCACATCTCAGGAAAGGTGCATTTCATATTTGGCCAACAGGGCATGAATATTTTAGTTTTATATCAATTTGAAGACAAAACTAAATATTTTTCTTTTTCTTTTCAGTTCGTAAGGACGTAGTTCATATCCTCTCTGATCTAGATGTTGAGGTCAAGGATATAACAGACTGTTATGATACTAGCTCTTTCCTTCAGCCACTGTCTTTGGAAGATGTATTTGAGAGAACAAGCAAGGAATTTCCCATAATTGCTGAGATAATGGACGGACTTTCTCAGAAACCTTATAACTTATTGCATACAGGGAAAGAGATTGTCATCTATAAAAAGTACCAGGCTACAAGAGTTATAGCCTCTGAGATCAGAAGCGATTCCTCCAAAAGACATTTTTTAATCCCTATGACCTATAAAGGAAAGTTCAAGAGAAGACCTCGGGAGTTTCCAACTGCCTATGACTTAGAGATAGCAAGAAGTGAAAGGGAACACCTTCATGTTGTAGCGACTAAAGCCTTTGATTCTCCTCATGCAGAGCTTTTTTCTGTTTCAGTTGGAGATCAGTTTCTAGTTCAGCAGTGTCAGACTAGTGAAGTTCTTCATGAGGGAAGAAAGAAAGTCATAGATGTTTTAGCTTGTGAACAAATACTAAGTAATGCATACAAGAAAGTGCTTCTCCCTATGTACATGGAAGGTGGCTTTGTGGAAGTGATTCATGACAAAAAGCAGTACCAGCTTTCTCAGATTTGCAAAGAATTTCATTTGCCTTTTAATGTCAAAGTGTCTGTGAGGGATCTTTCCATGAAAGAGGATGTCTTGGCTGCAGTGCCTGGTCTGCAGCTTGAAGAAGAAATCACAGACTCTTATCTGCTGATCAGTAGTGCCAGCAGTCCAATGGAGAGCTGGGAAATTCCTGTGTATCGCTTAAACGTGTTGGTTCATTTACTCAGCAAAGATGTCCAGACAGTTGTACCTCCCATGACTAGGACAACAGTGGAAGAGATCAGTGAAGAGCAATACTATATGGTACGAAGATATGAAAACCAAACCGTACTTCCACCCCCTAGACCTCCCAAAAAGCCAGCGACACTTGCGCAACAACCTGTTTTTGCAGTTTCTGAGCAAGATGTATCTGACATACTACAGGCTCCAAAGGTAAAATATTGTGCTATGTCTGTCTTTGAATTTCTTACAAACATAGGTCGTTTATAGTCTCCACTTCACACCATCCTTGTGGTGTTGTACACAGATGGCTCTCCATTCCTTATAATAGGCAAATTAGCCATTATAGACAACAGTGTTTAAAATCTCCACTGTGTGTTAATTGATCCATGAAAAACAACAGAACCATGCTGACTCACAGCAGAAAGCTTGGCCTTATAATTTTAGACAGACAATCCTTAATTGCAGCAATGCAAAAGTGAATGGAGAGACATAAAGTGGTTATATTCATACATTTATTAAGGGGTAACATATGTTTTCATTATATATATCAAGAGAATTTTGCTCAGCTGGAAACAGCAGAATCAAATTCACAGTAAGTCAGGCTGTATGGATGTTTTTAACTGCATATTTTTGCACTTACCCAAGTGGCAAATAGATCTGGAATAAAAAGGGCAACACTTTTAGAAAAGCCCTCAACATTAAGAAAGTTAAGTACCCCTTCTAGGACAATTTTCTTAGCGATTAACCTAAGCCAATGCGTTTGGTCATTAATTTTTGTGCTGAGTCTGGCTGAGATAGAAATTATTTTCTTCATAGCAGCCTGTGAGATGCTGTGTTTTGAACTTGTGACTAAAATGGTGTTGGTAACTCGTCGGTGTTTAGGCTGTTGCTGAGTAGTATATGCATAGCAACTAGGCCTTCTCTTTTTTCTACTCTGTCCTCCAAGCAAGAAGGCCAAAAGGTGGCCTAGAGGCTGGGAGTGGACACAGCTGGGACGGATGACCTGAAGTGGCCAAAAGAATATTCTGTGTCATGCTCAGCCATAAAAAAGATAGGATTGATTGGTCTGGGAGAGTGGCCATAGAACAGAAAATGGCAAGCCATCTTTCTTCTTGTGGAAAGTGGTGAGAAACATCACTTTTTTTTCTTTCTCTTTCCTTTACTTTTTAAATTGTCTTTTTGTCTACTCAAGAATTTTCTCACTTTTCCTTATCCTAACATCAGAATGAGAGTGTATGAATAGGTAGATGGGTGTTCAGCTTCTTGCCAACCCGTCACAGTTTTCTTGAATATTGAAAGAACTAAAGAAAGACAGGTTTGACAGATTTCGACAAGTGTGTCCAGTGGATACATAATATCTATTAGTTTCTGTCTTCCATATGCAAATTCAAATTCCCTACAGGGAAAGAGGACTGTACTCTAGAAATCCTTTCAGAGCTCTGATGAGGCCTCAATATGAGACTGCAGAGCAATTGTGCTGCACTTTAAATGCAGTAGAACTCATGGCATTGCATTCGGGGTGCTCTCAGGGAAAGTTATTTTTTGTATTGGTACCAAACTAAGGTCCAGCTGTAGCCACCATGGAAGCAGATCTTAAGTGAGTTCTCATCCTTCCTTGCTGGAAGCGTCCCTCTCCTTAGTGTCAATTCCATGACCGCATACAGGTAACCAGCTCCACAGAAGTTCTGGGAGCTAGTTGCAACAGAGCATAGGAGAAATGAAGAAGCAGGATGAGTCCCTTGGATAAGAGTAATACAGGAAAAAATGGTATGCACTGATGCTTGCAGCAGCTTAAATAAACCATTCTACTATTCTAGGGAGGACAGACAGGATGAATCCTGGAATTAACAGAGAACTCTTCAGCCTGGCACTGGCTTGGGATGCTGAACAGGGGAAGAATTCCATAAATGCAATATTTCTGGTAGACTTGTATGGTAATGCGGATTCAGACTTCCTGCTGTGACTGGTGGCTTGGCTTGGTTGTTGAATCCGTACCAGACTTGTGCTGTACAAGTATTTTTCCTGAAGTGAGGAGACAGCATTAAGAACTGTGTCCAGTTCTGGGCTCCCCAGAACAAAAAAAAGACAGGGATCTCTTGGAAAGAGTCCAGCGGAGGGCCACAAAAATGGTGAAGGGCGTGGAGCATCTCCCCTATGAAGAAGGGCTAAGTGAACTGGATCTGTTTAGCCTTGAGAAAAGAAGACTGAGAGGGATCTGATCCAGATCTATAAATATCTACGGTGTGGGGGGCAGAATGGCAAGGATGGATGCTTTTCAGTGGTACATGGAGACAGGATAAGGGGAAACGGATACAAGCTGCAGCATAGGAAGCTCCACACGAATGTGCGTAAGAACTTCTTTACGGTGAGGGTGATAGAGAACTGGAACAGGCTGCCCAGGGAGGTTGTGGAGTCTTCTCTGGAGATGTTCAAGACCTGCCTGGATGCCTACCTGTGCGACCTGCTGTAGGGAACCTGCTTTGGCAGGGGGGTTGTTCTCGATCTCTAGAGGTCCCTTCCAACCCCTACAATTCTGTGATTCTGTGACCAGAGAGGGATGAGTTGAGTTCTTTTGCACATTCATGAGTGAGGATGGCCTTAGACTGCAGCTGCCCTGGCAAAGAGGCATGTGTAAGCAGACTGTGCCAAAGGACATCTTTTTTGTCACATGCTACTTATAAATAAATAATAAACTGCAGTTCGAATTATTTGAATTATGCAGATTCATAAATCTCCTTCCCTGTAAAGATGAAACAAGTAGAGTTCCCTTATTCATTAGATTAAACATTATGAAAGTAAATGCAATAGGTTTAAAGTCTCACAGAATACATTATCTGTTCTATCCCAAGCACAGCAAGTCCTCTGAGAGGATGTGGATTGTAGCTGATAGGCTTTGCCTTGGCCTCTCTGCCAGAAACAGCAGTACAGAGACTTCATTTTCTTCTAAATCTAGCAGGGATGTCTGAGGTCTCAGAAAGTTAGTGATTGTGCCAAACTGATAAATAGCTCACTTTGCATATTTTGTGACTCTGCATAGACTTATTTGCATAAATAACAGACAAATGTTTTAATGAGCTGAACTTAACCCTGACAAGGTGGCAGCCTAGAATAAGCTTTAATGCCACGTGAATTGCCACTCTTCTACAGGCATCTTCCTGCCCGGCTGCATGCTGGAGGGTGGTGCTCCTCACCGAGTTGTTGCTGCAGGATTAAATGCTGCTGCAGTATGAGTCCAAAGAGGTCTAAGATATGGCTGTTCTATGTCAGTAGTGGAGGATGCTCTGCCACAGCGGGTTACCTCTAGATATGGCTTGTGCTTTGAACACCTATTAGCTATTCCAGCGAGATTGTGAGGGCAGAGAGGCTGCAGCTATCTCTACCTGCTGCTCCCTGACCTTGGGAAGGAGAATACTAGGGCCAGGAGCAGAACTGTATAGTGTGTTTCTCTGTGTTCTTTTGGCAATTTTAGTCACTGAATTGTATGAATTCAGTGGCCAGTATGGACTGGAACCTCACATGAGTGCAAGAACAGCCTCTGGATGCAAGGTGCAGTATTACAGAGACACGTTTGCACAGTTCAACAAAGTCCAGAGACAAAAATAAAATAGCTGCATTAACCAAGCCCTATGCCTAGGCTCCTCACAGGGCTAATTAATTTGGCTCAGCTCCTGCTGACACAGCTTTCTCTTCCAGAGCCTGGGGTTCCTTTCTCTCACTTCCACAAGGCCCTGCAGACTTTTGCTTTTCCTCTCACCTCATCATTCTATTTAGTTTAAAAAAAAAAAAAAAAAAAAAAAAAAAAAAGATCCAAAAAAACATTCAGCACACATATGTTTGAAGTTTTGTATTAGTTGTTAACTGAATGAAGAAAGATGCCCTCCGCTGCCCCGCCCCCCCCCCCCCCCCAAAGTCCATGCAAAATAAATAAATGAAATACAGTGATAGGCATCTGGAATGAATCTGACATTTGAGAATAATTAACACTATCTCATAAACAATATAATCTCTATCCACCTCTTCAAGCCATATCAGTTCTGTACCCCCAGCTGAGGACAGCACTGACAAAACAGTGGTACCCTTTGTTGAATTGAAAATGGGATACGAGCGCTCAGAGAAAATCCACATTTCTTCACTTGAGCCACTGGAGAGAAGTCCTCAGGGGGCTCTAACTGCCATTTTGAATGAAATAGTTAAAGTCATTCAGATTCTGAATGGTGAGCTTAGCTAGAGAATGAGAATGGCCTGATAAAATCCTAGTATTTAATGCTAGTGGTTTGAAATTTGGGGCATTCACTCACTTGCTTGGAGAGAAGTCTTCAGGGAGGAACCAGACAGGACATCACCTTTCTGAAATTAGGATTCATTCAAAAGAACAAGCCACATGTGCAATGGAAAGTTCTTCAGTTAGAACCACCGCTGTGAATATAAGAAACTCAGTTTTTTGCTTAGTATCTCCAGGTGAGCAGAAGAAATTCAGAAAGTGTTTCCTAAAATTTCGTTAGGCTTTTTATCTGATGCCTGCAGTTTCCTCCCCCTGAAAAGATGCAATGCAGCAAATTCTTTCTAGATTTCTTTTTGCTGATAAGAATTACCCATTCAGCTGAAATATTGACAAGCTACTGTGTGATCAACAGATTGAACGAAATTATAGTTTACACAGTTTGAGTTTCAAGTAGTAAATAAGCAACAGATTTAGGAAGCTTTATGTATATCCCCCCACAGTTTTGGTATTTTGTCTTTTTAAAACTATTTTTAATTGAACAGTCAAAGAAGACTTCTTACCAAATATTTCTAAGTGAATGTTATTAATAGGAAAACAGTTATCAATGCATGGAAAGCCATTTAGTTTTATACTCCCTGGGGGCACTAAATGTGCTTCTTAATGAATTAAAAAATAAAAAGGAAAAAAAAAAAAAAAAAGAAAAAAAAAAAAAGAAAGGACTCTTCTGCCAGCATCTTGCTCCAGAAAAACAGTAAGAGAGGTGAAGGAGAGCTCCATCCAGGTCTATTTTCAATAGCCTGCTTAAGCATGTATCTAGCCAGAGGAACATTAGTATCAGTAAAATACTCACAAGGTTCAAGTAAGGATTGATGCTATATGCCTCTATGAATGTGGAACTGGAAAAGTCAGTCACAGGCAGTAATCTGCTCAGCTTAACAAGAAAGCTGAGAAAATTCTGACCAGGCAAACTGGAATTTAATAAAAAAGT